GCCTGGGGTAATTGCTGAGCTGGGTGTTGGCATCCTACAGGAGAGATGGGGAAGGACTCTTGATCAGGGCGTGGAGGGATAGGACGAGGGGTAACGATTTTAAGCTGAAAGAGGGGAGATTTAGGATAGATATTTGGGAGAAATGTTTTCCTGTGCGGGTGGTGAGGCAGTGGCCCAGGTTGCCCAGAGAAGCTGTGGATGCCCCATCCCTGGAGGGGTTCAAGGCCAGGCTGGATGAGGCTTTGGGCAACCTGGGCTAGTGGGAGGTGTCCCTGCCCATGGCAGGGGGTGGAACTGGATGATCTTCAAGGTCCTTTCCAACCCAAACCATTCTGTGATCCCTGGAGTTCTGGTGGTGCTGCCACCATACCTGTGAGGTCCTAAAGATCATGGCTGGGAGCAATTTGGGATTTAGGAGACCCCCAAAAGCTTGAGGTTGGATAAAATTACAGCAGAAAGTGAGCAGCAGCCCAGGGAAGTAGGGGCATCCCATCATATCTCCTCCAGCAGTGGTGTCTTTCATGTTCTATCCTGGATCCCTTCCAAGAATCCCTTTAGGAATTAGGGAGGATATCAGAGACATGCTGGAGGAACCTCATCCTGGGCAGCCAGCGTTACAGAGCATCTCTGAATACTGGGATGGACACAACTCACTGGGAAGAGCCCTTTTGCAGGACCACCTGCATGAGCTGTCCCCAAATCCTGGCTCCTGGGTGGGTTTTGCAGAAGAGCTCAGCAGCAACCTCTCTCCCTGCACCTGAGTTGTGTCCCAGGGTTCAGCCCCAGGTGTTCCCATCTTCTCATCAGCTACCAGCCTTCAAGGAAGCCCACAAAGCAGAGCTGCTGAGGGTCAGCAGCAATTTAGGGTGTTTGATGGGTGGAAGCACAGGTGAGCCCTCACCCCAGGCTTTTTTTTCCTTCTCCAACTTTCTCAGATCTGGATCCCCCACAGCAGCTGAGGTGGTAACCTGCCACCATGGGGGTTAAAACAATGCTCCCCAGCTATGAACTGGGGTTTTATGCTCTTGTCGTGACGTGTGCTGTGGTGTACAGCGGCAGCGGGATCTTCGAAGCATCCAGAGGTAACGGTCCCCATCGCGTCCTTCAGAGAAGGGGGTGTGGGAGGGAGGATGCCCCATCCCTGGAGGGGTTCAAGGCCAGGCTGGATGAGGCTTTGAGCAACCTGGGCTACTGGGAGGTGTCCCTGCCCATGGCAGGGGGTGGAACTCGATGAGCTTTAAGGTCCTTTCCAACCCAAACCGTTCTGTGATTCTATGAATGGAAGGTGACTGCTTTTACAGGTGTCCATACCAGGAGCAGATCTCCAGGTTTAATTTTTGCAGAGAACAGCTTGGGGATCTTTTGTAATGTTCAAAATGATTTTTTGCCCTTTTGCCTGGTTGTCCCTTGTCCCCGTTTCCATGGCCCAGAGCAAGAGGCTGTGGCATATCACAGTTCTCCAGCCAGTGCCTGGAGCAGGCAACCACCCTGGCTACACAGGGCAGTTTCACAAATTTTTTGTCTGGAAGCTCAAAAACCTGAAAACTTCATGGGATCAGCCAGGGGTCCCTGGGATGTGTACTGCACAAAGGCTTTGCTGGAAAATCTGGTAGAAGTTGCTGAGGTTCCTGTTTCCTACGGTTGTCCGTGGGAACTGGGCACTTTGGGGATGGGTTGCTTGAGTCCCGATGGCTCATCGTCGTGGTGATGAAGGCTCTCTGTCCTGTTTCCCAGAGCCGTTCTTCTCCCCATAACTCTGGTTCTTTCTGCAGACAGCATGAACAGAAAGGCCTTTCGGGATGGCATAAAGCCGGGCTGGCACTACTTCGGCAGGAAAATGGTAAGCAGAGGAAGGACCCAGGGTTTCTAGCTACTGGTGACGTGGTTGATGCTGACCACTGGAGAAGCAGAGTGGGTTTTTCTGCTGGTGACACACTTTTGCAAAGTCCATGTGACTCGTATTTTTCTCTTTGAAGAAGTAGTCGGGAAAATATCAGCCCTGCAGCGCAGCAGATGCTGTGCTTTGTGTGCGCCGAGATGAGCAATCTCTGCACGTCCCTGGGGTTTTATGACCAAGCTAAAGTGCTTGGGAGCCCTTGGGTGGAAAATGGGAAGAAAAAGCTTTGAAAGTTGTGTGCTTCCCCCTCTGGATGGGTGTTGGGGCAGGGATGTGAGGGCTGGGGCCAGTAAGGCACGTGGTGCTGCTCCCACAGGATGTGGCCGATTTTGAGTGGGTGATGTGGTTCACCTCGTTCAGGAACGTCATAATCTTCGCCCTCTCAGGACACGTCCTCTTCGGCAAGATCTGCTCCATGCTGGTGCCACAGGTGAGCCAGGGACGTGGTGGGATGGATTTGGAAGCACCAGGGTGACCTGGGATGCATGGAAGGGGGTTTGGGGGATGCTCCAGGATGTGGAGGAGCAGGGTTGGGTTTTCACCAGGGTAACCACGGGTTGGGGCCGCTCTCTTCTCACAGCACCGAGCCATGATGTACATGGTGTATGGAATCCTGGCTGTGCTGGGCAGCATGGGGCTTGTCTACCTGATGATCATCCTCTCCCACTGCCTTGTCCTCTACTCTGTGGCGCTGGCCAAGCAGAAGTGGCTCTGCTACGTGGCCGGGCTCTGCTGTCTCACCTCCTTAAAGGTGGAGCCCTTCAGCTCGTGGCAGGTAGGTGCTGTCTTGGGCCATCTGTGTGCCTCATTTCCAGCCTACTTCACAGAATCACAGAATGGTTTGGGTTGGAAGGGACCTTAAAGCCCATCCAGTTCCAACGCCCTGCCATGGGCAGGGACACCTCCCACTAGCCCAGGTTGCCCAAAGCCTCATCCAGCCTGGCCTTGAACCCCTCCAGGGATGGGGTATCCGCAACTACCCTGTCCTTCTCTTCTCTACTTGCGTCCTTCTCCTTGGGCTTTCCTCCAGGGAGGTCTCCTGGGGCATTCCCAAACCCTGGGCTCCCATAGATTTGAGAGGGAGGGGACTGTTGTGCTGCTGAGCTTGGGAATAATCCCACAGGGGCTCCATCATGTTTTGGTGGCTTCAGGCTGGGCCAGAGCTCAGGACACCTGAGTTCTTCTTGCTGCTCAGGCAATAGCTTGTCAGCCAGGCAAGATGTCCTGTGCCTCAATTTCCCCACCTGTTGTGCAGTGCTGGGATGGGTTCATTGATGTCTATGCCTGTCTCTTAGGTCTCTGCCCAGTTAAGACTTTCTCTCACTGGTGGGTGGAGAGAACCCCAGGAAGGACCTCATAAAGCTATTCAGTTCTTCCAAAGGACAGCACTGCTTGTCCTTCCCTCCTGCTCCCCTCCTGAAAGGCATTTCCCCCTCTCCATCAGGCTTGTGCTGTCTTTCCTTCACCCCCTGGGGAAGGCTATGTCCCTGTGACAGGGCAACATTCCCACCCCACACCAAAGCCTACATGGCCCACAGCTGCTTGGTGAAGACATGGCCAAGGAGATCTACCAATTCCCAGCTCCTCTGGGTTGCAGGAGCCAGCTGGGAAATGGAGCCTCAGTTTTCTCCTTCCAGCAGCTCATTAGCTATAGGGATAATTAGTGTTGGAGGATAATTAGAGGCTTTGCCTACTGCCCTGAGAGTGATGTCCTCCACAAAGTCATGGAGCACAGAAGTCACACCACGTTCCTGGTGTTTAACTCTTTGTTTCTCATCCAGAGTGGGTTTGTAACAGGAGCTTTTGACCTTCAAGATGTCCTCTTCTACGGAGGAAGTGGCTTCACCATCATGCGCTGCATGAGCTTCGCCCTGGAGAGCTCTGAGAGAAAAGAGGGCATCTACTCCATCTTCGACCTCCTCAAGTACAACTTCTACCTCCCCTTCTTCTTCTTTGGGCCCGTCATGACGTTTGACCAGTTCTATGCCCAGGTGAGCGCTCCTGAAGCTGGGCTGGAGTAGGACCTCTCCTTGTATTTCTTTGCTTGGGTTTAATGCCTACAAAAAAATCACTCATTGCCACAGTGAAGGTGAAAAATATTGCTGAGCTTCTTGTGGTCATCTAGAGTCTATGGCCATAGTCTGGGCTCTGCAATGATGCTGTGATTTTTGGGAGGAGGGGTGTAAACTGATGGGGTTTTGACCTTCCAGTTTGGGGTTTTGGCCATTTCAATGGCTCAATGCAGGAAGGAAGAGATTGCTGTGGTGAAAGCACCATGCTAGGATGGGAAGGGGAGGGTTCAGCTCACGTCCTTGCTCACTGTTTCTGTGTTGTCCCACTATGTGGTGCCGGGAGGCCATGGTGAGGGCCATGGGACCTCTGCATGCTGGTGGTTGTCACAGCACAATGTCACATTTCCATCCAGCTGGTTCACCCAAGGACCATGAGTACCTGTGGGTGGTCTGTGTGTCTTAAGATTAAGTTCTTTCTCTAGGAATAAGTAGGATTGGGCAGAAGGCTGTGTTTCAGCAACCCCAGTCCAGGAGCTTTTTCTGCTCCCCATGGAATACCCTGGTGCCCTAAGTCTTTGCGTGTTTCACACACAACCAAGGTTGGACTTTTTGAAGAACAGACTACAAACAGGACTGGAAAACATCATCAGAAACCTTGTCTGGGACCACCCAATATCAGGCTGCTTCACAGCCAAAGATCAAGCAAGACCTCAGTGCTCTCTCCCTCTTCACTCTTCTCATCCCAATGTTGTTTTACACCAAGGATCAACCTTGGCCATCAAAGGTACTGCTTGCTGAAGGAGGGAATTCTTGCTTGGTTAGCGATGGTGCTGGGAAGGATTGCCACCACCCCTCTGTTTCCTTTCAAAGGAAAACAGCTACATTGAATTTTTTGACCCCAGTTGACATCCAGGTGCAAGAGCATTTTGGCTAAATATTTGTGAGTTCAGAAGAACCAGACAGTTTGTTCAGCTTGAGAAAAGAAGGCTTAGGGGTGAACTTATCACCATGTTCCATTATTTAAAAGGTGGCTACAAAGAAGATGGAGACTCCCTGTTTGCCTGGAGGCACTCACATGGAAAAGATGAGGGATAATGGGTACAACTTACTCTTGGGGAGATTCCAATTGAACACAAGAGGAAGTTTTTTTACAATGGGAACAATCAGCCATTGGAATAATCTCTCCAGAGAAGTGGTGGATTCCCCAACATTGGACACTTTTAAGATTCAGATGGCAGGGTGCTGGGCCATCTTGTCTGGATTATGCTTTTGCCAAGAAAGGTTGGATCAGATGATCCTTCAGGTCCCTTCCAACCTGGTGTTCTATGATTCTGTAATTCCACAAGGGATGCTCACGGTGCATTGAGTCCACCAGCAGCCCATTCTCAGCAGACAAGCACCAGGGATGATCAGAGCCCAGCTGGGCTCTTCTCCCCAGGCTGCTGGAAGAATTATTTAATCCTAAGGCTTCATCTTTGCAGTTGCATCATACTGCCAGGCTGAAGTCCAGGCGAGCATGGCTCCAGCAGCCCCACTGCCCAAGCCCCTCCGGAGCAGGTGCAGTGCTCAGGGTGCCCGCATCACCCCACGTTCTTCTTCCCCAGTTTCCATCAGTCTTTCCTATGAGATGGACAGCCCTCACTTCTTCTAACACAGCAGCCAGGTATCTATAAATCTGGGCATTACACTGCTGGTGTCTCCAGGACCTGAACTCCCACCACCCCTACAAAGCTTGATCTGGAGGGTCCTGTTCCTCTTGCACAGCCCCAAACCATGATGTTTATAGCCACCTAATAAGCAATTCCCCACTTCTGCTGCTTAAAACACTCACTCCAAAGGCACAAAGGAGCAAGTTCCCAACCCCTTTCCCATCCCTTGGCCAGGGGTCCTGTCTTGGCCTGGCCACCACTGCCATCTCCTGGCTAGATACCCCCCTGCACTGAGCTGCAGCTAATTGCAGAGGTGGATTCCTAATTACCCCACAGCAATTATGGGGGCATGCAGATGGAATCCTGTTCCTCCCTCCATGGCCCACTTAGGGAATTGTCTCTTTGTCTCCGACTGGTGCTATGTCCTGGTGGAGCCCTTGCACCCCCATGTGTGGTGGGAACTCATCTGTGCCAGGGCTCAGCCAGGCTCATTCCAGCTGACAACCATCTTCCTTGCTGGGATTATGGGAAGCCATTCACTTCTGCAGGGCTGGAAATGTGGTGACACAGCCCTGATCCCAAAGGGATGGTGGCAGAGTGGTGCCACCATGCACAGACAAGAGGATGGGTGGGAAATGGGGGTCCCACGTCCTCCCACATGTCCCCATGCCAGAGCCTGTCCTCTATCAGCTTCTCCAGATCAGGGTCCAGTGGCCTCTTTGCATCCTTAAAGCACTTGGCATATAATGGGCATGAAAAAATCTAGCAAAGGCTTTAATTCTCAGGAATCATCTGGATTTGACGGCGGGGCTGGCGCAGCAGCCTGCGGATTATGTTGGGAGAGCTCCCACCTCTCACAGAGAATAAAGGGAAAGTAATAAACATAAGAGGATTTTGAATACAGCAGCAATTTTTACAGAGAGGCGGGGAAGTGAGGACATGGGCCTGCCCAGTGTAATCCTGAAAGCTTGCTCGGATGATTTTTATATTACAAGGGCCAGAGACATGACGGCTCCTGAAGGCAAAGCCTGGCCCTTGTTCACACAAGACACAGCAGAGATGAAATCCCCATCGATCCCATGGTCCCAACCGATGCAGGATGGTCCCTGGAGCAGCTTTCCCTCTCATTCACAGCAGGTGTCTGCAGCAGAAGCTCCAGAGACCATCAGTCATCCTCATCCTCCTCCCAAATGACCCTGGCCAAAAATATGCATTTGGGCCTCTCAGAGCTGTCAGGTGGGGTATGGGCATTTTCTCCCCCTTAGTGACCTGTACAAGGAACCACCCTTAAGCAAAGCTGACTTTCTGAACGTGTCCCTTCAGAAAGAGCATAAAACCCAGCTCCCTGGTCAGTATGGTTTTCACCCCACCTAGGGTCCCTTTAGGTGCAGCCAGACCTGTCACTGCTGTGTCACCCTATGTGCCTCCTCTGCTGGAAGCCCCAGGGATGGGAACACCCTTTGCCTGGAGGGTGATCCAGGAGGCACGTTGCTGCCGTGCTCAGCACTGAGGCAGGGGTGTTGGAGGGATGCTGTGGTTGGGATCTGTCCTGCTCCTTGTGGATGTGTTCACCTAAGTTAGTCCCTTGGGTCTTCCTTCTTCAATGGAAATTTGGGCAAGTTAGTCCGTGGTGTGGTTTCTAAAGGAGAGCGGTGAGTCTCCATCTGGCCTTTGACCATTTCTCCGGATGCAGGAACCTGATGCCCATCCTGTTTCTCAGCTTAGCCCTTTCCTGGTTTGCCATCCCAACAGGTGAGCACCCGAGAACTGAGACGCAAAGATGATGAGATGAGGAACATCCGGGTCCAAGCTCTCCTTCATGTGGGGACTATCATTGCTGTGGACATCTTCTTCCACTTCTTCTACATCCTCACCCTTCCTTCTGACCTGAAGTTTGTGAACCGCCTCTCCGACTGGTCCTTGGGTGAGTGGCTGTGCTTGGATGTGTTCACACCTGTACTCAGCTTCAAGGCAGTGGTGAGTGATGGAGATCTACATCTATCTCCATTGAGAGGCCTCATCAATGCCTATGTTGGACAGGTTTGGGTAAAGTCCCCCTCTTCTTCCCAATCACAATGCAGCAGAGCTGGAGTCTGTCAAATGGCGTTGGTTTGATGCCTTCATAGGGTCCTGGAATAAATTGTTTGGCTTGGGGTTTAAGAGGCTGAGCACCAAGATGTTCCCATTGCCTTTGTTTGGACTGGAAGGGAGCTCAGAACCTCCAAAAATCAGCCCCATGCTGTTGCAAGAGGTGCACCTGGTGTCTCAGATGCCTTCACAGGTGGCCACCCGTGATAGGTGTCTGTGAGCCACTGGAATGGCTGCAGGGTGCAGGTTGTACAGAGAACAGCTCAGGAGAGTTGTAGCTGCTGTCTTCAGCTACCTAAAGAAGGGTTGTAGAGAAGGTGGACTCTTCTTGGAGGCCAGCAGGGAAGAACCAGGACACAATGGACAAGGTGCAGCAAGACAAAGTCTGATTGCATGGAAGGATTATTTTTTCTCAGAGTGGCCAAACAGGAGCCTAGAGGTGTTATAGATTCTCCAAAAACAGAGATATTCAATGATTAAATGGACAAAGTGCAGAGCAACCTGATCTCCACTCACCATGCACTCAGGACCTCCCGAAGCCAAACTCCTGAGATGAGGAGGGGTAGCAGCACTGGCATTCAGCTGGCAGCTGGATGGAGGATTTCAGCTGGCCAAATGCATGTCTGATGCCAGCACGGGAGATGCTATAGGGTATCTGACAACCACACAGGGCTGGCAAAGGGCAAACAGAGGCTGGAGAAGCCTCATGTCTCTCTAGAGTGGCACCTGGAGGTTCCTAATGCAGCTGGAATGGCATTAGCATTGATTTATGGTGTCCTAAGAGACCTGGGTGGACTGACCAAGCATAGGTGTTACTTCAGAGGGAGCTGAGCTCCTCTGCAGGCTCTGCTGGCTGTATGGACCAGATCTGCCTTGTCCACGCTGGGAGCTCAGGCACAACTCGCATCGAGGCACTGTGTGGCCCTTAATCTGTGAGCTGAATCCCACCAGGATGGGGGCATTCTGGCTTCTGTTTGCATAGGAATTTGAAATCTTTAGGGTTTGTTCCTGCAGGGATCGTCTTCCAGTGTCAGACATGTCTCCAAGACAGAGGTTCTGGCCCTGGCTCTGCCATAGCATCCACATCACATCTATGGCCACAAGGAGCTGGGATGGGGTGCCTCTCGATTAAGGTGTCAGAGTTGAGAACTGTGATGAGTGTCATAGGTTAACAAACCTTAGAGTGAGAAAAGATCTTGTTCTGGAAGAAATTAGATCTGTATGAGTTTCTTGGACTACCAAGACCAATAACGAGTTTGCTCCCAAATACCCCAAGAATATATTGTCCCTTGATTCAAGCTTCTTAAAAAGCTAGTTTAAAGAGCTTTGCTGGTCCAAGACAGCATTAGACTGTCCTATTGTTTGTTGCAATAGACCATGCACTCCCACAAGACATGATGTCCCCAAAAGTCCTAAAAGTGATACACCCCATGCTCTTCTTCCTGTGTTTGACTCTCATTTTTGCTCCAGCTGGCTTGGCCTACTCCAATTTGGTGTATGATTGGGTGAAAGCTGCTGTCATGTTTGGGGTCACCAACACCATAGCCAGACTGGACCACTTGGACCCACCCCAGCCCCCAAAATGCATCACCATGCTCTACGTCTTTGCAGAAACGTGAGTACGCCACGTGCATCATTGAAGAGGGACAACGTGTTTGACCCGAATTAAATGTGTGTGGGAGGGGAGGAGATCTGGGCTGTCCTTCTGAGCAGCTGGCCTGTAAGCTGGAGGCTACATACGTTGAGCAGTCTATACTGAACCTGTAGTCTAGACCTGGCCATAGCCCAGGGAAATATTCTTGGGCAGGAAGCAATGGATAAAACAGGTTACAACCACATCAGTGGTGGGACCTGTTCAAGGAAGGAGCACGGAGAACTGTGAACAAGGTTCAAGAAGTACCTCACCAGGGGACCAGGTGCCTTCTATGGCTGACTGCTGCATGGAAGGGTGTTATTACACTGCGTGTTTTTTAACGTACTTTTTATCATCTGTATTTTAGGCATTTTGACAGAGGGATTAATGACTGGCTATGCAAGTAAGTGTCTAAGGAATCTAGTCTGGTTCAGGGTCTTCCCTTTCATCACATAACAATGAAGCATTAAATGCTGTTCATCCCAAAGCTGAGGTGTCCTATCTCCTGGTTGAATCCTATGGCATGAAGTCATATTTGGTCTGTTTATCCTTAAAACTATTGAATTAATAACCACAAAGTGCAATAGCACACCCCCCTCCCCCCCCCACCTGACCCAAAGTTGTGAATAAGAGAGCCCTGTCCCAGAAAACCCATTAAATCTGGTGGGATTAGTGGTCCCTCAAGGCAGGAGGAGTCAGGTTCATATTTACAGAATCACAGAATGGTTTGGGTTGGAAAGGACCTTAAAGATCATCTAGTTCCACCCCCCCACCACGGGCAGGGACTCCTCCCACCAGCCCAGGTTGCTCAAAGCCTCATCCAGCCTGGCCTTGAACCCCTCCAGGGATGGGGCATCCACAGCTGCTCTGGGCAACCTGCTCAACCAGGAGGAAAGGGGAATTGAGCCCAGGTCCTCCCATATCTCCCATGGCCTGAGCTCCACCAACATCTCCCTCAGCCCTTCAGCTCTCTTCAGCCACGAGTACGTGCCAGCAAAGCTGTACTGAAGGTGGTGGCTGTTCTGTGCTGAAATCCTGTGCACCAGCAAGCATGAGATAGCCTGCAGCTCTAGGGATCCCCACATTTTATCAACCCTTTACGTGCAAGAGAGGGAAAGGATGGTATTTTGTCCCTAAGGAGCTATAGATTATAGAATCATAGAATGGTTAGGTTTGCAAAAATCAGTTTATTGCTAGAAGGTGTCAGCCATAACATCTTTCCCAGTGGCTGAGCATGGGAGGAGGGACTCCAGAGGGCTCTGCTTGGCTACAAGGGGGCACTGACCACTTTCCTTGGCTGTTAGGTACGTGTATGACCACATTGGAGAGAACCATGACAATATTATGAAGGAGCTCAAGGCCACCATTGCCACCTTTGCCGTCACCACCCTGTGGCTGGGGCCCTGTGAGATCGTTTACATCTGGTCTATCTTCAACTGTTTTGGCCTCAACTTTGAGCTCTGGGTGCAGAAATTCTTCCAGCAGGAGCCCTTCACCAAACTGGAGGTGAGGAGCTGGGCTGCAAGTGGATGGGGGGAAGATCAATGGGTCTGGGGACAAATACTGCTGCTGGAAAACATCCATGACTGTACAGAGCTCAAACTTCATCCAAGTCAGATCCATTTTCAGCTGAGACTGAAGAGCCACATCGCTGATGATGGAGACCTGAAGCTCTCTCCTGTGGCCTTTAGCATCCTCGTGATCAGCTACTCAGCTGTGCAAGGGAAGCACAGTCCTGGTGCTCTGTGACCCTTCATTTTATGCACTCTGTCACCCACCCAGAGCAAATTCTCACCTGCCCCTATGATGCTTCATGGGAGATTTAGATTGGGTGTGGAGCTTTCAGAGGGAAAAGTGGAGGTCCAAGAGAACCAGGAATGCAGCCCCAGTGAGGCATCAAATGGACACAAAATCTGAAATCTGTCCATGGGGAAATGTTTTATCCATTTCTGTATGGAAATAATTTGTTGTTCTTGTTCTGTAAAACACCTCAGCATTCTGAGCGTTTTTGATCTGATTTCTGACAGAAGCAAACATTTAGGTACTAGAATTAATTATTTTCCAACAACTCCAAAGCTTAGTGCCCTGTCTCTGGCACAAAGGTGCCTTGGGGACAAGTTGGAAGACAAATTCAGGAAACTCCATCCTGGAAATAATTCTGTTGCTTATTTATTTTGCTGAACCTGAAATCTGGAGGTGCTAAACTGATTCAGCAAAGACCCCTTTCGAATAAAAATTTTGGAGAGCTATCCTCCCATTTGCTCTCCTCATTGAACTTCTAATCAGATTATAGCACTCGCAGGCAGTGAAATCTCCTTCCCTGTGGCACCACAATTCTCAGCACTAAGTGGCCTGGGGATTCATCATTCTCTTTAAAGATCGCTATAAACCACTTCCCCGCTCCATTCACAGCAGCTGCTCCTGAGGATTATGTGCCAGTGACAATTTCACTCTGCTGCTGTCATTAGGTTTTGTTTTTTGTTTTTTTTTTTAATTCCTAAGAAACAATTTCTACCAGGAGCTAGGAGTGATTTTCTCATAGAGCTAAAAATAATCCTGGCATACAACAGCATTTATCTGTCTTGAGGAATGGCTCACCCAAGGCAATAGATGAAGACAGCAGTACTCAACCATTACAACTAGCATGAAGCCATGTATAACGTCTTGCCCCTACCCACGGGACCTTGAATCACCAGTCCAGACTCCCACATGCATCCGGGTCCAGCAGCAGAGCAGTTTTACCTTGTCCTTATGTTCCTCCATCCCAGAGACACTAGAGGCTGCTCTAATTTTTGCCCATCCCTCTGGGATCCCACCTGGAGTTTGGCTGGAGTTGGACCAGTGCATCCCCTTTCCTTACAGTCCCATTTTTCCTCACTCTCTGCTCCTCTCCCCTCCACAGGCCAAAATGTCAGCGGCCATGTCTCGGCGGATTAGGGCAGTTTTTGGGGCTGCAAATTTCTGGGCCATTGTCCTCTACAACATCCTAGCCCTCAGCAGCCTGGAGTTTGCACTGCTGGTCGCCAAGAGGCTCCTTCTGACGGGTAAGATGCTACCAACCTTCCCCATCGAGGGACCCTTGTCTTGATGGGAGGGCACTGGTGGGGAAGCTGAGGACTGGGACTTACAAGTCCTCTTGGTGGCCTGGCCATTGTAATGTTAAATGGCTGCTCCCAATGTGCTTAATTATTCTTCAAAAGATGCAGGAAGCTGTTTAACTCCCATCCATCTCGTGTGAGCTGTCTGGGGTACGAGCTGCCTTCCAGGTGTACTTGTCCAGATCCCAGCACAGCCTGACACTGTGATTTAGACTCCTTGCAGCAACACAAAGGTCGCATTCACCCAGCCAAGGTGGGGTGTGAAATGGTCCCTTTGCTGGAATAAATTAATTTCCTTGTCCTACCTCACCTCCTTTTGCTTTAGCAGCTACTCCTATGTCAACCCAAAGGTGACAGGTACAAATCCTCATCCTAGGCTCCTCATGATCAGTCTTATCTGTACATTTCTAGTCAGTGGATGGTGGCACTATTTTGAAGTCTTCTTGAGCAGCCCAGGGTATAAATAGCCATTGGGTGCCCACGTCCTCCAGCCCTCTCTGGGACAGGGCTTTGCGTAGGAAATGGATAATGTGATGCTCAGGGTGCCAGAAGTGCCTCCCAGCTGAGGTAGCCAGCTTTTGCTGGTTACGTTATTCATTTCAGAGGTCCTGTTTTAGCAGATACAAAGCCTGTGTCTCCACTCTGCTGTGGATACCAGAGTCATGGTTACAAATGCCGTCAGACCCTTCTTAAGTGGAGGAATTTCTCCCGGCTCTTAGTCACCTAGTTGACAAAAACGTGTTTTCTGGGCACACGTTGTGTCCCCACTAGGTATGGGTGAAGGCTGGGGTTGTTCCTCAGCATCAGTGGGGTACAAAGCTTCCAAAAGCTCACAGTGCTGAACAGCGATGGATGTGGGCAGGTTGAATGGGCATAAAGTCAACACCAAGTCTGATCCTGGGGGGCAGAAGGAGTTTTGGAGGTAAGGGAGTGTTCAAAGCCATTCTAGCATGTTCCCACATTAACCGTGGTCCATGATGCCTTGGTAGGCTCAGGCACCACTTCACCTAATTTCTCTCTTCTCTTGGTGAAGCTGTAGCGCTGGATCCACAATGGAAAATGTCATTGGCCATCATGAACGTGTGGGACTTCCCAAACCTACCTGAGAGGCAAGTAGACACACCAAGATGACCATGTCTCCCTCCATCTTCTAGGTTTCCCTGTCAGCACCTTGTCCATCTGGTTCATCACGTACTGCGGAGTGCAGCTGATCAAAGAGCGTGAGCGCATCCTGGCCATTGAGGAGGAGAAGGCTGACAAAGCAAAGGTGGAGTAGAGGGAGGCATCAGCAGGCTTGTCCCAAAGCCTCATCTCCCCTCCAGCCACCGCTGCCAGGTCAGCCACTGGCTGGGGCTCTCCAAACACTCCTGACAATCGGACTGGTGTAGCTCACCCATGTAGAAGTCACCTGGAAGGTGCAGGTCACTCCCTTGCTGCAGGAAAGATCTTCTATAAGACACAGCGGGTGTTTCTCAGGTTCCCCACGCATGGCAGACTGCTGAGGTAGGCTCTCAGGACATTTCTTTAATGCCAGAAAGAGCCATCCTCATCATTCTTCTGACTCTCTGACATTGTGCAGGCCTAGAGATTTCATCCCCTGCTTCCCATAACACTTGGTCCACTAGCACTCAGCTCTCCCACAGCACCTGTAGCCCATGTCTCCCAAAGGAGACTCTCCAGGTCCCATGGCTGGAGGTTTTAGGGGTGAGCCAGACACACAGCTATGAGGAAGGGATTAGCTGGAGCTGAGCCTTCTCTCTGCAGACCATCTCCAGGTCACTGGAGAAAAAAAATTATTTCATCCCAACATCATGGTTAATGAGAGTCCAGGAGACATAGCTTCTTCCCAGCCAGAGCACATCACGCACAGGTTGCCTGGGGAGCTGACGTGCTGAAGAAACACAACACATGGCTCACAATGGCTTGGTCCCCAAGCCCCAACTCAGACCCAAAGGGCCCTCCACTGCTGAGTCTGAGACCAACATGGCCATAGTGACCATCCTGCTGTGATACGTGTCCTGGGACTCAAACCAAATCCACCCATGTTTTTTACGTGCCATGGACAAAGGCTTATTCTCACATTCCTGCCTGTGGCGGAGGAACAGAAGATGCTGTAGCCAACTCTTGCTCATCTCCAGCCATCCATCCCTTTACTCAACTGACTGATGCGCACAGCCTAAGCCCATGACTGCACGACTGAATGAGCACACAGACCTATAAACAGCCAAAGGAGAAAGGTCTTGGATGAAGGGCAGGGATTTGGGGCTCAGTGGTGGAGGGGAAGCCCATGATAGCCTCCTTGGAGAAGTAGACTTTGGGACACTGCATAGCAAGTGCACTGGATAAATGTACATCTGTGAAACACGTGCCTTGGGGAAAAGGTGGGTTATTAAGTGAAAAATAGCTCTGGCTCTCTTGCACTTTAGGGTAACTTTCAGTGGCCTTATGTCTGAGTTTTGTCACTGTTTGGTGAGGGCAGAATCTGGACCACTTTGCAACGTGGGTTGAGACACTTGGTGCTGGTGTGTTCTGGCTTTCCTGCGGATGAAACAGGATTGGTTTCTAGCCAACTTTCAGCTCTGCCAAAGTAATTTGTGAAGTCCCTGAAAAATGTAATTTATTTATGTAGTAAATAAATGTTGGACATCTACATTGCCTGCCGCTCGTCACTGTTGCGCTACTGTAATGCAGGTGACACGCTGGGTAACACACTGCATCAGAGCTGAGAGACACAAGGATCTGTCTGCAAGTCCTCACCTCCCACCCCTCATGGTGACACAAGGTAAGACATTGTTGAGTTTACCAGGAAACCACCTTAGAGGCATCACCAGATTGGAGCTTTGGCTGCAGCTTGATTCATATTCACCTTTATTTGGACTCCGCCTTCACGCTGGTTAAATATCATGAGCCTACTGCCACCAAACTGGCATCCGTATAGTTTTTAAGTCAGAAGCCATGATGGTTTCATTTCTGGGAGCATGACCCAAAATGTCAGCAAGGGCAGGTATTGTGCCTTGGTGGCATTGCTGGTCATCCCAAAACCCCTTCAGCTGCCAGGCACATCCCTTCTTAACACACCTCCGCTGCTGTACCTTTGGTAGGTGTTTTTTGGCCTGTCCCTTATCTCAGATTTACTCTTTACCACCAAAACAGCTATGAGATGATGTGCTTCCTCCCAGCATAAAATTCAGCCCTTCTCCTCCATTCGGGTGTCCTCACTGAAGCCACCCTGACCCGCCAAGACCAAGGGTTTTGTCTCTGTGGGTGGCTCATCTCAGGTCCCTGGTTGCCTGGGAGGACAGAGTCACCCTCTTCGACACCGGGAGGTGGGTGACTCACATGGCAAAGCCCAGTGACTCTGCACTGCCGTCCTGACTCGGGCACTTGGGAGAGAAAATAACCCATTCACTAAGGATCTAAATTTACCCAGCAGCTGCATCTGCTGGAGCTGCCAGAAGGAGCTAATCTTAGACACCGAGTGATTGATTTGTTAGACAGTTTATGGGAGAAGTTGTGCTTTGCTCGTCTTTGACTGAAGTTATCCCCTCAGCTATCGCTGCTGTTTCAAGCCCGGGAGGTTTGGTGGGCCAGAAGCACCCAAGTGGTGTTATCTCAACCAGCTCAGCCATGGACAGGAGGCCCTCAGCCTCAGTGTATGCCTCCATGGAGCAGGATTTATCAACTGCTCGTTCCCCTCCTGGAGAGGAGTGTCTCGTCTGATCTGGTTATTGCCTGCCTGTTAGTAAAACTTGCCTGAGAAGCCAAAAAAAGCAATTAGTTATTGCAACTACAAATCTAAATTAATAGCTCTACACTGGACGCTGCCTTGTTCAGCCTGACAAGGTTGTAATTCCTGCATTCACCTTGCTTGTTTTACAGTTTTGTATGGGAGGGAGTGCTCCTGCTACATTGCATCCATGTCTCCTCACGCACTCCCATGTTGTGGGGGGACTATTGCCCACTTAGAGAAACAATAAATGACTTAGTCCATTGGTCATTGGGAATCACCAGCTGTAGTCCCGTTAGACCTGGGGCCAGTCAGCTGAGGGATATCTCAGAACAGCCCACCTCCATTCAGAGCTGCGTTGTCTATCATCCACCGGTCAGCACTGTTCAGGGAGTGCTGTGGGGACAGTCGATCCACCCATTCATGTGTTCAGAGAGACAACTGAATGGTAACTGGAGTTCAGAGGAGGCCACGGAGATGGTCAGAGGCTGGAGCAGCTCCCGTATGAGAACAGGCTGAGAGAGTTGGGGGTGTGCAGCCTGGAGAAGAGAAGGCTCTGGTGAGACCTTCCAATGCTGAAAGGGAGCTACAGGAGAGATGGGGGGGCTCAGGATCAGGGGGTGCAAGGATAGGACTAGGGGTAAGGGTTTTAAGCTGAAAGAAGGGAGATTGAGATGAGATATTGGGAAGAAATGTTTTCCTGTGCGGGTGGTGAGGCAGTGGCCCAGGTTGCCCAGAGCAGCTGTGGATGCCCCATCCCTGGAGGGGTTCAAGGCCAGGCTGGATGAGGCTTTGGGCAACCTGGGCTAGTGGGAGGGGTCCCTGCCCACGGCAGCGGGTTGGAACTACATGCTCTTTAAGGTCCCTCTCCACCTAAACCATTCTATGATTCTACAATTTTATGGATGTAAGGTGGCTGCTTTTACAGCTGTCGATATCAGCAGCAGGTGAACCTCCCCATGGTGCAGAGCTGCTCAGAGGTCTTGGGGCCACCAGGTCAACCCTCTGTCCCATCTGGCCGGGGTAGAAACTTCTTTGGGGAGGAATCAGTCTTATCGAAGCTGAATGCACCCATGCTCAGGAGCCAGGGAGGTTTACAGACCATTTGAGGTCAGGGTTAACACATAGGACACAGCCTATATGTCCAGCCTGGGCCATATGTGCAATCTACATCCGTTTTGATGAGAGGGCTTGGGATGGATGCTGCTGTATTGAACTGATAGCAGAAAATGGTGGAAACTTAAGGCAGGGGATCACAGGTGTGAAAGTTGCCAGGTGAGGACAGCATCCCAGTACTGCTGGTGTTAGGAGCCACTGGGAACAGTTTAAGGGTGTCTAGTCTGAATTCATGATTTAAACTCTCTTTAGAGCAAATGGACACCGATGGACATCACCGAAGTCCTCTCATCTCAGACAAGTGTCTAACTCGGGTGCAGTGAAGCAGGTCCCAGAGATACCTGTCTCTCTCCATGGCTGTAGGGAGCCTAAACAACCCAATGCCCCAAGGACATGGTGCTCTGGAAAAACCAGGGCTGCTTCCCCGAGCCTTGGAGCTGGTCCAGCCACTGTGCAAAGCCACGGAAGCTGATGAAGACCCCAGAGAAGGTTTGGTACCAGCACAGTGCTCTTTCCATGGGTGGACCACAAGCCTAGGAGAAGCCACAGACCCACCGATCGGTTGGGAGCTCCTCTGGGAACGGATGGACTGTACCTGCATTTTATCAGCGGCACCTCGTGACGGGGGGATGGGGAAGCAAACCTTGGATGGCAGCAGACTCTGAGCAGCACAGCGAAAAGGAAAACAAGCCAGGGCTCAAGGGAGATTAAAGGCAGAGGGGGGCAAGAATCCCAGCCAGTAGCAGAAAAATGCAGGATTAAACTTGGGAAAGTGCAGAGTTAATGTGGAGGGAAGGAGGAAGGGAGGACAGGGGTGTCTGGTCCCAGATGTCTGGGAGCAGTGGAAGGTTCCTGAAGTTTGACCCAGTTCAAAGATTAGTGCTCATCGCCTGATTCCGTCACAGATCAGCAGCACAGCAGACCAGCTTATGATGTAATCTCTGAAAACAGCTTGTGATTATTTCCCTGCTATATTGGTACCTCCCCAATGCTGCTGGAACCTCACCAGCACAAAAAGGCTTCATACCAGTATAGTTGCCTCCCTCTTCCCACTCATGTAGATAACCATCATGGCACAAAGCACTTTATAAATACATCCATGCCAAAGTAAAGGGTTACGTGGCTTTAAATACACCCAGAAGAGTGGCTAATATCTTTGCACAGACATAATTAAATCGTTAATTAAACCTGTGCCAGTGCTGAGTGTCAGCCAGCCCAGAGGGACCCTAGTAACAGAGATAAAATAAAACAGATTTATGTATAAGCTTTACCACAGGTATAAATAATTAGAGCTACCCTGCTCATCCATGGCTGTCAAAACTAATCTGCTTCATGAGCTCCATGGGAAGAGCTGGACCTGGACTGGCCATTTGAGGCCCCATGGGGCTTCCTAGACATCCAAGGGTGTACAAGGAGGACACAAGACCTGCTGGAGACCTCAGCCTCTCTGGAGCATCAGCTCAAGGCCAGGCAAGTTGTCCTGCTGTAGCTCTAGATTTCAACATGGGAGTGTTGAATCTCAGTAGACCTTAGCAGGAGACCCTCAAGTCAGAAGAAGACACCTTTGTTTAGATGTCCTAATCTGTGAGTTGAAACCCACCGTTGTGCTCTCATTACTTCTGTTCTGCCTCAAACCCTCTCTCTGTCACCAAGATGTGGAGAAGACGAATTTATTATCCCCCATCCCTGGAGGTGTTCAAGGCCAGGCTGGATGAGGCTTTGACCAACCTGGGCTAGTGGGAGGTGTCCCTGCTCATGGCAGGGGGGGGGAACTCTGATGGGCTTTAAGGTCCCTTCCAACCCAAACTGTTTTATGATTCTATGAGTCTATGATTAATGACGAGATGTTCAGAGACTGTGCCACTAGGGCCCATGCGCATATTGCCAACAAAGCAGAGCCACCCCTCTCCGATGCTCCTTGAGTCTCCTCCTTTAGCGAGACTTTTTGAGTAACTTCCAGCATAGGTCTCATATCCCACACAGGGATGTAAATAAACAGCTTTATCTTCATTTGCCACCCTCCCTGAAAAAGTGACTCCAGAGGACAACAAAGGACAAACCTGTGGAGAAAAGCAGCCCTGGGAGCGAGCTGGCTGGAGTCGGGGATGCCACAAAGCCGACATAAGATGCTCCCTTATTGCATCTTTCCAGCTTTGACTTCACGGTCTATTTTTAACGCAGCAAAAGGTTTAGCAGTTTCAGAGCAGTCAGTTTAGTAGCGTCGGGAGAAGGTCCCAGCCCTGCCATTCATGACCCAGAAGGCTGATTTGGATGTTTGATTCATCTGGAGGCTGTTTCCCAAGCGCGGCAGATGAGCCGATGGGTTGCACGCGTCTCCCGTCATGGGACGGTTCCTGCTCCCCCCCTGGTGACTCATGAGCTGACAGACCCTTCCTGAAGCATCGAGGCTGGAAGTACAGCTGTTCCCCCGTCCCCCTCCCTTCCTCCTTGTCCAATGTGTCATATTAAAGGGTGATCAGCTTACACATGCTCCAGTATGGATTCCTTAAGCTTTGTAACGCTGTGGCTATATATAAAGCCCTACGCTGGAAACTGAAGTACACAGACAGCTGCGCTAGTAGCAAGCATTTCACATTCCCAGTGTGCCGACAGTCTGGAAGCAAGGGAGACCCGCAAGCCCTGCTTTGAGTGAGTTTCTTTACTAGGGACACAGGTATAGATATATTCATAAATATACATATATATTTATATAAGAAGGATTGGGAAAAAAAGGAGCAGTTACTCTTCACCATGGGTTTGCCTTTTGATCAAGTGGAAGAATTGCGTCTCTACCAGCAAACTCTCCTCCAAGATGGACTCAAAGACATGTTGGACCACAATAAGTTTCTGGACTGTGTCTTGAAAGTCAAAGGGAAGGAGTTTCCCTGCCATCGGCTGGTGCTGGCAGCTTGCAGCCCGTATTTTCGAGCGATGTTCCTCTCGGATATGGAAGAGAGCAAGAAGAGGGAGGTCAGTTTGGAAGATGTTGACCCAGATGTCATGGGCAAGATCCTCCATTATATCTACACCTCAGAGCTGGAGATCACAGAGCAGAACGTGCAGGACATCTTCTCGGTGGCCAACATGTTCCAGATCCCCTCCATCTTCACCGTCTGCGTGTCCTTCTTGCAGAAGCGGCTCTGCCTCAGCAACTGCTTGGCTATCTTCAGGTTGGGCTTGATGCTGGATTGTGCCCGGCTGGCCGTGGCAGCTCGGGATTTCATTTGTGATCGCTTTGCTCTGGTTTCTCGGGATGAGGAGTTCTACCAGCTTTCCCCTGATGAGCTTATTGCAATCATCTCCAGCGACTCCCTCAACATCGAGAAAGAGGAGACTGTCTTCGAAATAGTGATGAAGTGGGTGGGGACCAAGGACCAGGAGAGCCGGCGGAAGGCCTTGCCCATCATCTTTGAAAGCATCCGCTTCCGCCTCATGCCCAATGACTACATCAAAGACCACGTGGAGAAGCACGCCACGGTGAAGTCCAGCCCGGAGCTGCTCAAGAAACTACAGATGGTGAAGGATGCCCAGAAAGGTAAATTCACTGTGGTGAAGAAGAAGAAAGTGAAGAAAAGCAGTGAAAAGCAAGCGAAAGACAATGTTGTCAATGGAGCAGTAGATGAGGAGGAAGATACAGAGGAGGATGCTCTCCCAGGGATCTTAAATGACACAATGCGTTTCGGGATGTTTCTCCAGGACCTTATTTTCATGGTGAGCGACAGTGGAGCAGTAGCCTATGATCCCACTGCCAATGAGTGCTATTTTGCCTCCCTGTCTACTCAAATCCCAAAGAACCACATCAGTCTGGTGACCAAAGAGAATCAGATCTTCATTGTTGGTGGACTATACTACAACGAGGACAACAAAGAGGATCCCATGAGTTCCTACTTCCTACAGGTACTAGCTTTATCTTTGTTTCCTTGACCACTTTGGAGTATCACCAGTCTTTAGCTTCCCTGTGATGCCAGTAATATTAATTGTCATGTGATGTTAAAATGAAAGTCGTAAATGAAGGTGAAACATCTGAGTTGCTTTTCTAGAGATTCTTCTCCCTATATTTTTAAGGCAGAATACCACTGACAGGGGGGTTCTGGTGATTGAGGAAGGAGGTTTGAAGGAGTAGGTAATAGGAATAAGATTTCTTAATCCAGCTCCTGAATAGGGGACCACTTTCAACAGTGCCTTTGGTCCAGCCCTGCCTGCCATAAGGCGCATGAACTGGAAGGTTAGTGGCATCAGGTCTGGGTTCTGCTTTGTACCCTTTATGTTCCTTGGTTATGAACCCCCAGCAAAACCCGAGAGTGACTCTGCCAGGTGCCAACAAAGGAACTGCAGCAGCTACAGCCACAAAGCAAACACCCCAAGGACACATAGTGTGTCCCTAGCTGCCAATACGATCCTCATTTCTCGTGCTGTTCTTGACCCTGGAGGTCTGTTAGTTCCAGCTCAGAGTCTCTGCCTTGGCCATCATATGTGGGGGAAACCACAGTGTGACGTCTTTTGGGATACTCCACAAGAAAAGTGTCTGCTCTAACTCAGCAGTAACCAAAGCTGTGATCAGATTGAGCTCTGTGCAGGCAATCTGAGCCCCAGCCTGGGCTGTAACCCAAGAGCACCTTCCCTGTTGACAGCTAATGCAAGGCACCTACCCTTCCTTCTGACCCTGTAGGAATCCAGCAAATCCTCTGTTCTTCCCCCTATACCCAGAAATCCTTTTGTTTTTCTCCTACGGCTCACACGTCTTCTGGGAAGAAAACTAACATGTTCAGGCAGAAAGGATAAAGTAAGGGTAGTTCCCAAGCTGAGTCATCCAGCCTTGATCCCTCCTTTGTCTCATTGCACGGGTAGGGCTGTACATCTGCATCACATGTGCAAGGACCATGCCTGTCCTCATTTGGAAAGGGTCAGGATTTGGAGGCTATGTAGCCCATGTGAAGCCCATGAAACGAGAAGTCAACTGCAGCCCTAGAAGGCAGGATGGAGGGGGAAGGCAGGATGGAGGGTTTGAGATACAGCCCTTTGCACTGGACAACAGGTGAGAACAGCAGATGTGTCCAGCTCCATCACCCACCTCTGCAGAGCAGGTAGACAGGCTGCTTTGTATTCAGCCAAAACCTATGCCTAAAGATCAATGCTCCGCCAGTCCAGCTGTTGGCCAGGCAGGGTAATTCCTTGAGTGGCAGCGAAGGTCCACCATGTCCTGGGCTGTTTCAGCACGACTGCAGCAAGCAGGTCAAGGGAAGTGATTATTTTTTTTTTCCTTTGATCATACACTTGTGAGACCACATCTGGATGCTGTGTCCAATTTGGGGCTCCCCAGTACAAAGGAGACGTTGAGGTACTGGAATGAGTTCAGCAGAGGCCACCAAGATGGTCGGGGCTGCAGAACAGGACGAACAAGAAGAGGGTGGGATGGGTCTGATCAGCCTGGGGAAGGGAAGATCTCATTGGTGGCTGCAGCTCCCTAATGGGAGGGGACACAGAAGAGGGATCCAGACTCTTCTTGGATTTGCACAAAGATGGGACAAGAGTCAATGGCCAGCAGTTTCAGGAAGGGAAATTTCAGTTAGCTGTGAGGAAAACCTTCCCAGTGGAGGTGGTGGAGTACTGGAGCAAGGGTCCAGAGAGGTCACAAAACCACAAACCTTGGAGACATTTAATATTTGACTGTACAAAGCCCTGGCAACCTGCTCTAACTCCCAAGCTGTGCCTGCTTGAGCATGGGGCCTGGATGAAAGACCCTTGGAGGTCCCTTCAGCCTAAAGTACTCAGTGATTCTCTGCTGCCAAGAGGAAGATTTCTATATTCAGCTCCCAGTTTGCCACTGACTCGGTAGCAAATGCCTTGGGCATCATGTGGCTGTTTTTGGCTCCTTCCTCACAAGAAGGGGACAGTGGTCCCTTCCCAGCTCGCTGTGGCACTCGTGCATGGGAGGTGCAGACAAGTCCCAGGGCTGGAAAGTGCCATCAGTTGGCAAAGGTGGAATTTATTGCCACCAGTGTCATTCTGTAGCTTGCAGTTCCTATATGAGTAAGAGAGTCTTTTGAGTGGTTTTTTTTTTTTTTCAGCTGAAATATCACACAGATATGGACAGGCAGCTGTACAACAAACCCTTGAACCCCTGTGCCAGTGCAGCACCATCCTACACCTTCTGATTCTTGTTTCTATCCTCCCCAGTTTCACATTCCCTCTGCTGAAGCCAGGAGACTTAGGTCAGGGACAGTTTAGACTTAAGGACAGGCACCAAAATATAAAAATGCTAATAAATCCCAGAGGCCTTGCAAATTTTGGCAGGAACAAAATTATTCTATTGACATTTCAGATGGAAAAGCGTATCCTTTATTTGTCACTCCTAAGATTTATGACTTGAAAACAATGCTGAATCCATCAAGAAGCAGGAACTATTCTGGAGACTGAGCTGCTAGGGCTTGAGCTATAAATAACAGATATGTGGACCAGAGCTTACAAAGAGACAATAACCACAGGCATCCAGCTGAGGCCGAGTCTTTGGAGGCAGCCCAGCAAGCTGAAGCTCTTTGGCCCGAGCCCATTGCAAACAGTGCTGCAGGCAATGCTCCATCACAGCTCCATCTTGCAGAGTCCCACCAAACTGGCTGCAAAATGTCCCTCCCTCCTCTTCTACCAAGCTACATTTAAAATTTTTACCCCAGTTTACAGTTCCCATCAGTGCCCAGAAAGCCCCCAGCCTCATAATCTTTCACATCTTTTTTTGGGAGATGAGGCAATGCCTTGATCTACAGAAGTCCAAGGATCTGCAAGGATTTGGCCATCTGATCTAGTCAGAGATGTATCCATCACTGTATGGATCCATTTCCCTATCTATCAGATACCCTTTATAGGTCCAACATGCGACTCTCTCATCCGAAGATGACCAAGCTTGTTCCAAGTCAAGTCTTTGGTGCCTCAAGCAGAACGTGTTTGTTCTGGTGCATCTCTGCTCTTACACCTTGACATAGAACATATGTCATATGATATATGACTCGGATTTGCCCTAAGATCTCCCATCCTGCACCAGATGGCAAGGCACAGGCAGAAAGCGACATTGCAGAAAGTGCCTACTGGGGTGACCAAGCTGCATGTGGGAATGGCCGTTGCTCTCAGCCTCTGGACCCTGATTTTTGTGAAGCAAATGGGTCGAGCGAGCACACACTGATGACCACGTGTTTTCTTTCAGTACGACCATCTGGATGCAGACTGGATGGGGATGCCCCCCCTGCCCTCCCCTCGCTGCCTCTTTGGCCTGGGAGAGGCAGAAAATTCTATTTTTGTGGTCGGAGGGAAAGAACTGAAAGAGGGAGAGAAGACCTTGGATTCAGTCCTCTGCTACGACCGGCTGTAAGTGTTCTCGTGCGAGCGCGGGGTGGGAGGTGGTTTATAGGAGAAGATGAAGCAGCTGCCATGCAAAACGACTCCAGCTCTCCAGGGGCCAAAAGGTTTTGGAGACAGGGCTTGAACTGTACGTCTAGTTGCTGGGACCACTAGGACTGTCTCAAGCTGTACCCTGGGGCTCTGAGCTGTCTCTCTCCAGCTGCTTCGTTTATTATAATTGAACCTCCCAGAGCTGGAAGCCGTAATGGGGATATTATGTTATCATCTTAGTAGATGCTCATGTGAGACCTGTACAGAGGAGCAAAAGGAGTTTTTCCTTCTGATCTCGGCTGGAGGTTCAGCAACACCCCCCATGGTCTCACCAGGAGTGGCTTTGAACAGGAATGTTAGTTTTCAAAATATTTGTATGTGGCACTGAATGGCCCATCCTGATTGATATCAGGCTTATTATCCAATTATTTTTGGACAATGGGCTCTGACCCATGTTAGGTCATGAGCTTTATTAAAAGGCACCGTCCCGTTCCGCTCACAGGAGACAAAAGCATCCCAAGACTGCTGCTCCCTGCCCCAAAGAGGCAGAGCAGGAGGCATTAACAAGCCTTTGCTCGGTCTATATTTAGATGTGCGTGCTTCAAAGTCTGTTTTATTGGCAAAGATTTGAAACCAGTTTCATTCCCATGGAATGGGGCATTTATCTGTCCCTGCAGAGTCCAGGAAAGGATGCATCTGCCCTGCGAAGTGCTCAGGGGGTGGTTGGGATATTGATTTGAAGCTGGTAGAGGTGTGACCAGCACCACTTGTATTTCTAGCATTATTTGGGTCAAGATTTCAACTCTTAATAAACCTGGAGAGGGCAAACTGCTGGTCTATGGGATCACATATTTGCCCAGAGTGGTTGGGCAATTAGAAAACACTCAGAGCCCAGGAAACTCAGTTCTTGGGTAAAATAAAGGGCAGGTCTTGTGGGCTACATGCATGAAAACCGGGGACAAATCTAAGCTACGTGGATATGAACAGACACCTTTTGAGAAATGGGTCGGCCCTCTTTGGGTACCAGTTTGAGGTTTCCAAAGCCTGCACTGAAAATGTGGACATACCCACCCCTGTGGGTCATTGCTGAGTGTTGGCCAACCAAAGCATCTCAAAGTGGAAGGCGATGGCCAAAAAAATAAATTCACCCTCAGGATCTTGCACCCCTAAGTCTCATTGGTTTTGTTTTCCATCATGCAGAAATCTCTGTCTTGTGTTCGTGTGGTAAAGCTTGTAAATGAGATGAGGTCCTGGGTAGTGGGGATGTGTATCCATAAAGGCCAAGAGTAGGGGATGCTGCAGAAAATAAGGCATATTAGCATAAATATTTCGCATAATTTAACTTCCCCCTTTTTTTAGGATCACTAAATTTACAGGATAAGCTCTGTCTCATTGAAAAACTCATATTTCTGAGACTGAGTCAGACTCTGTGCTCACCTCTAGGTCTGGAAAGTGCCATGTACTCTAGGATTCAGCTTCCCATCTTTCTCTCATCCAGGTCCTTCAAGTGGGGTGAAGCTGATTCCCTTCCCTACGCAGTCTACGGCCACGCAGTGGTATCGCATAAGGATCTTGTTTACGTCATCGGTGGTAAAGGAAGCGACAAGTAAGTCCAAAAGCAAGAGGAATTCGGGAGTCATGCCCCAAACTAGAGGGAGTGCGGAGCATGAGTTGGTACCTCCCCAACCTAGATGCTATGGGTTAAGGAGGGTTGGATGGGGTGTGAGATGTGGATCCTTCCCTCTCAGCTCATGTCTGTGACTGCAGCCCTTCCCAAGCCCTCAGGAGTCCTACAGGGACACCAGGGAGATGGCACTGTCCTTGCAGGAGAGGGAACGTATCATCCTCTTTGCTCACTATAAATAAATACCATGCGGGCTGAGAGAAGCTCTGAAGAGCAGGAAGCCCCTTCACATTAAGGATCTCCTGTCTTGGACTTCTTGTGGAGCAGCGCGGTCCTAGTAGTCAAATCCAGACGAGTACTTGGGTGGTGAGGCAGTGGCCCAGGTTGCCCAGAGAAGCTGTGGATTGGAGGGGTTCAAGGCCAGGTTGGATGAGGCTTGGAGCAACCTGGTCTAGTGGAAGGTGTCCCTGCCCATGGCAGGGGGGTGGAACTAGATAGTCTTTAAGGTCCCTTCCAACCCAAACCATTCTGTGATTCTATGATTTGCAACAGGAATGAAAAACCTCATCAAACCTGACCCCCATCCTGCAGGAGATGGGCTCAGCAGAAAAAGCCCCTCTCGGGGACCATTGCAGCCATCACTTTGCAAGGCAGAAGTGCAACTGCTTGCAGAGCAAACATGCCATCATCCAGCAAAGATAGGTCCTGCTCTGAAAGGATGATGGTCCGAACAGTGTGAGCATGCATGCATTCACACACCTTACATCGCCGTCCTGGGGAACAGGGACGGTTCTGGTGATATTTTGCAGTGTCAAGGTGGATGAGGAGCACTGAAATGGGGTATGATAGCTCTGTGTGAGGTCCTGGGAGGCAGTTAGTTCGTTATGTGGACCCAAATCCAGCTGCGTGAGCGTGATGCTGAGCTTTTAGGACTCCTACCCCTAGTGGGCACAGCAGGAGGGCATATGTTATATGCACAAATGGTGTCTCCAGGCACGGGCATCGTTGGGCACACACCCAAGCAAAGGCACTCATAACAATGAGGAGGAAAATCCTTTCTAGAGACCCCACGTTCTTCCCAGCAGACATCCCCAAACTCCTGCAGTGCAAAGCTGCCCCTTGGCAGGCGATCAAGTCTCCTTCTCTCTTATCTTTCTCTAGGAAGTGCCTGAAGAAGGTGTGTGTCTACAACCCATCTAAGTTCGAGTGGACGGAGCTGGCTCCCATGAAAACTGCCCGCTCCCTGTTCGGAGCCACCGTGCACAAAGACAAGATCTACGTGGCAGCTGGTGTGACTGACACCGGCTTGACCAACTCAGTGGAAGTCTATGACATTGCCAACAACAAGTAGGTACCTGAGCACACCTTCGGGGTGTAGTTATACAAGGAGCAGCTGTAGGTGGACATTAAGCAACTTCCAACCATTCTGGAGTTTGCTTGCAACTCCTGATACCAGTTCCTCCCAGTCTGTATTCCTTGGACAGTTGGGCATCACCAATGCCACTGCAGTTGGACTGTGGATCCTCTCAGGCTCACCTTCAAAGTGGTTTCACCAACTGGTGCAGTCCTTGGGTTCCCTGCAGGGCTGTACCTTCATCTTGGCAGCTTGACCCAACGCAATAGACTCTCTAACTTTGGGTGAGCTTTGCAGCTGTGGTCCCATTGCTGGGACCTGCTGGTCCATGCCAGATGTTCTTCACAGCTCATTTTCTCAATGCAAAATGAGGTTGAGCTATGATGATGGAAACTATCTCTAATAAGCATCATTGTATGATCCCATCCCACGTAGACCTATAAACTGTCACTAGTTAATTCAGTTATTGATTCCTGATTTGAGGCCAGCCTCAGCGTGGGGGTAGGCAGGGTGCCCTAACATGTCCCCTCTCTCCATGCGACAGGTGGGACACCTTCCCTGAGTTCCCGCAGGAGCGCAGCTCGGTCAGCCTGGTGAGCTTGGCTGGGGTGCTCTACCTGCTTGGAGGGTTCGCCACAGTGGAGACGGAGTCGGGAGAGCTGGTGCCAACGGAGCTGAACGACGTTTGGAGGTGATGATCTTCCTTGGGGCTGTCCAAGGGAGCATGGGAGGGATGTTAGTGAGAACCACTGAGGGAAGAGAGAGTTTCTGTCTTTCTTGATGCCTTCAGTGTGAGATGGATGTTGTTACCCCAGCACAAGGCTGTGGGGTCTCTGGGTGAGAAGTTTACCCTGCGCTGTGCTGGAGGACACATTAGGTGGTTCAGTGATCTCTCCCAGCCTCATATAACAACACACCAGGGAAAAATCTGCTTCTTTAGTTTTGTTGCAGCATTGACATTTTGCCTGGAGCTGGTTCCAGACCTCCCCTTTGTCGTGAAGCAACATTTGTGTAATGCAGCCTCTCCCTGGGAAAAGCCAGTCCTTGGGCTGGAAATCAGTCTTTCGTGCGAGCAGAGAAGCCAGCAGAAAGCACCTTCTGACAGCAGCTCGTGTAGCGTTAGCTACTCCTGCCCTTCACTTCTGTGGCTCTCGAGCACCCTCACCAGGCACCTGGTAGCCTTCACCATGGATGTTCAGTCTTGGTGTCATCAACCCATTTCCCAATGGAAAAATACACCCTCCCCTGCGAGATCACGCACTGATATCCATGTGAGGCAGTGGCCCAGGTTGCCCAGAGAAGCTGTGGATGCCCCATCCCTGGAGGGGTTCAAGGCCAGGCTGGATGAGGCTTTGGGCAACCTGGGCTAGTGGGAGGGGTCCCTGCCCATGGCAGGGGTTGGAACTCGATCTTTAAGGTCCCTTCTAACCCAAACCATCCTGTGATTCCATGTCCTGGGGCTGCAAACCAGTCTACGCCAGGGCTCTAAGTTCCCATGCATGCAGGTATCTTGTAGCCAAATAATGTCTGTGGGGCATCACACCATGCACCAGGGCTCCCACCACTATGGAGAGCAGCTGAAGCAAGGGAGAGGAGACACCTTCCTCACCATAACTGCCTGTATGTCTCTCCCCAGATATGATGAAGAGCAGAAGAAGTGGGAAGGGGTCCTCCGGGAGATCCAGTACGCCTCCGGTGCCACGTTCCTTCCTGTGCGCCTCAATGTTTTGCGCCTAACAAAGATGTAGCAAGGCATGATTTAATTTATTTTTTTTTTCCATTGGGGTTTGGGGCAAGGAGGGATGGGGGGAGATGAGGCCATGCTTATCAGCGCAGAGATGCGGCATCCGGATGCTGTGTAGGACATTGCAGCTGTGATTGGTACTTTTTTACTTAGTCAAAAGGTAAAGGGGGAAAATTACCTTGAAGCCCTATAGGGACTTAAAGATGCTCAAAAGTTAACTGGAGAAGGGATCTGGGGCCTGCAAGGAGCTGGAGTAGACCGAGAAGCATGGAGCAATGAGTTGTTCCAGCCTCAGTAGATGGGACAAAAAGCTCATACAGTTCTTTCTCCATGTTTTTCCCCCATCCCCTCAACTGCTGTTGAAGCCAACCAACAGTGGAGGCAGAAAGTGGGTCCCAAGGGACTAAGCTCATGTTCCCCAGGGAAGCGGGGGTCTAGGAAGTATTTTCCCACCTAAGGTAGCTGGGAGCATAGTGCTAGAGCCCACCTTGGAGAGAAAAAGTTCAAAGTCAAGTGGTACAGAGAGGGGGGACTTTGAGTTCTCGAGTGATGAGCGTTGTTGGGATGAGACAGTGAAAAGAGAACGTGAGCGTGGGCAGCAGAAATGCTTTGGAAGATGCAATGAAAAGAAAATAGTCTTCATTCTTGGCCTCCACCTTGACTTTGGACTGGAGAGAGGCCAGGAGGTCAGGTCTGCAGGAGGGGAAGAGCTGTGCAAGTAGTAGGGTAGGAAAGAGGGGAGAGATGGGCAGGGGAGGCCATAGGCACTCTTCTCCAGCTTTTCGGGCTCCTCAGCCTCAATCACAGATCACAATGTCCTCACCTATGGTTGGACAAGCGCTGTTTTCCAGGGAAAGGTTTTATATTTATGCTGTTTCTCTTATTTTTAATATTCTGACCTTTTTTTTTTTTTTTTAAGAGTATTCTAATTTGCTAAATACATGCAGATCTCAGATGTGTTTGGCTCAAACAGGGCTTCCTACAGAAGAAAAATGCATTTTTTTTTTTTTTTAAGTTATCCATAATGATGTTTTGATAGAAACATGACTGTACTGGCAGCAGGACAAAGATCTGTTAGAGCAAAAAATCTCCTGATGCCCACGCCATCTGACCAGTGGTTTATTTAAAAATAAATTATTAAGCTATTTCAAAAGAAATCCCCTGTGCTTGTGTGTTGATAGAGCTGTAACTGAATGTCCACAGCAACCAAACACAAGGACCACGCAAAAACTGCAACAGACACGTGGAACAAACCAGCTCCATGGAGTGCCCTAGCAGAGCCTCAGCTTTTCTTCATCTTATTTTCCCCTATTTGGGAGGTGAAACTTTAGCATTTATAGCTTTACAGTTATTTTCCATAGATATGAGGATTGGAAACTTACCTAGAAGGAAGCTGGATGCCTACATGATCTCATGATACCATGAACAGGGGTGATTATCAATAATAAAAGAGAAAAAATACAAACCTTGTAAAATAATACCCCCCAAGTGGCATGAAAAGTATGGTATCAAAAATTATTTCTGGTTGATTGGTCTAGCACAAAATGCAGTCTTGGAGAAACTAGAAATGTTTGGAAGGAATGATAATTTGGCCTGAGTAAAGGAACCAGAGTCTTGTCCTGATTTCGTTTTAAGGATTTAAAAAGTTACAGGATAATCTCCTTAGAGGACAATCACATTAGAACACTAATAAAACACTTTCACAAGAAAAATAAATCCAAGGTGACTGGCTGGCACAAAATAGCCTAAAAAAAAAAAAAAAAGTAGCAAAAACCTTTGAAACAATCAAATGTGTGAAAGATGCACTGAAAAAAAGTAAATCAGTTTCTACTCAGTTCTGCAGAAATTCCTGTGGACGACTCCCAAGCTAATGAGAGATGAATCTACCAAATGTAGAATAGCTCATTTCAGGGAAAAAAAAAATAAAAGAAAAATAAAGTAAAAAAAAAAAAATCCATGTATAGAATACTAATTTTTAAAAGTCATTTACTACAGTGGCAGGATACCACCTCCTGCCTGGGACGGGAAACCAACTGCTTCATCTCTTCTCGCCAGACACAGAATGGAAAGCTGTTGTACTTGGTCTGAAGAGAGGGGTAATCCCCAATACACCCGCTGCCACGTGGTTTGGATCTCCTGGGGGAAATCTGGTCCCAGGAATGTTGCTCAGGCTTGATGAGTTGTTATGGTGTGGTCCCTCCATAAGGGCTTGAGAAGTGGCGATTAAAACTGGTCCCCATCCTCAGCCGCTCACCTCGCAACTGTCCATCGGGAATACAGTTAATAGGAGCTTAGTGCATGGGTCACATCCATCACAAAGCTGTGGGAGATGCCACCGCTGGCCCAGGACAAGAAACCATAAAAGGAAAAATAGCTGCTGTATAAAAGGACCCAGAAGAGCTAGAAATATCCCACTGCTTGAGCAATAAGGGCCAAATCTTGTGTGTTGGCCCAAGGAGGGCAGCAAAGTTGCACATCATCAAGTGAAAGCTGGACCCAGAGATGTCCACCAGGACCTCGCCAAGAGGCTGCTTCACTCCAAGGGCAATCACAAGAAGAAACGCCAGCATGGCTACTCACAGAGGTATCACTCCTCTCTGCTGCCCGACGTTTTCCTGGCTCAGATGCACACAGCTCCAGCAGCACAGGTCCCCCCACAGGTATCTTATCCAGCAGCAAAGGAGTGGGTACATCCCCAAGGTGGGGGAAATCATCTCTTCTCCCATTAGCTTCCCAACATCAGTGCTGATGTTAGCTGGCGAGGTTCCCACCACTTCATTTTAAATCAATAAAGGCACTGCGTGCTATTGGACAGGCTCCTTGGTTTCTCCACTGCCTGTAGAGGAGCTCAAAGAGCCCCAGCTCACACAAACCTCATGAAGCCAGTAAGATCCAGGAGCTCAGCCCTCACCCTATGTAACACCCCCAGGGCTATAAGCACTGAGCCCCTTCCTCTATCCACTCATCGCCCTTTCCTGAAAAGCTACTTTTTGTTGGCCCCACAGCAGTCTTGTTGTCTCACACGCGTGCACCCACCACCCACCAAACCCAACACAAAGCCAATACACGGGAAGCAAGTGCAGGGGTCAACATAGTGTAGGAAGGCCATCCTGCCAGGCTCATACTCCTCACGAAATTGCCTAAAAAGAACTTTAAAAAAAAAAAACAAACCAAAACAGCAAAGCAAAATTAAGGTAACAAAGAAAGTGGTGGAGCTTTAGGTTTTCTTTTATAAAAGACAAATTGTTTATTGATTCAGTCCTTCCACTTGCAACCTCTTTGGTAACAGTCAGAACGCTTCCAGACTGGGAGAACGCAGTGGAAAGGCCCAATTCTGACCTCTCACCACTTTCAGAGGTCAACAACCCCTTACGTGCCTTGGTGAGAGGCCAGAAGCAGGTTTCAAAGGATGGCCAAGGACCTGGCCTCTAGGGACAACCCAAAACAGCCTACCATGACTCATCGTGCTCGTGGGTGGCCCAGAGAGTGGTCCCAGCACCCCCAGGCAGAAGATGGCTTGGGTTTGGGATGTATGTTGGGCTCTTGGTGCCAAGGCTGTAAGCTGCACCTTGGAAGGCAGCTTTGATGCACCTCTTGGGACCTCCCAGCCAACGGGGCCGCCAATGAAGCAAGACTCACCCGTTCCTGCAGTAGGCAATGACTTGCCCCAGTTGGCCCTTTGCTGATAGAGTAACCCGACCACCTCAGCCTCCCTCTCATCACATCATCCCAAAGAGAGTAACTGCTGTACTTGGAGTTAAAGATAAAACATATATTGATTACACATGGTCATAAAAAAAAGTAATAATAATAATACATTTCCTAGAACATTACTTAAGACCCTTCCGAAAAGCATCCAAGCTTCCCCTCCCCTCCCCGCCATCCCTTATCTATACAGAATAAAGTGCTTCATTTAGTTTGTTCACACTAGTAGAGCCACCGATACACTCTTAACTTGGCATGTGTGGGCAACCGATACCGAATGCCGTAAAATAATACAGGGCCAAACCCCAGGCATGAGAAACTATTTTTTGAGGCAAGTGCTTGGAGTATCATTCATTTCCCTCAAGTTCCATGCTACCGAGGTGGTTCTTATTCCTATTTTTTTTTAATTTTTTAAATTATTTTCTTCCTTTGCAAGTTCAACCCAACTCCCATTGTGGTTACGTGTCACTAGGCAGGGCTGCGTGTGGGGAAGCTCTCTCCGTCCGTGTGAACAAAGGGCATCTGTCCATCCGTCCTCCCCTCTCAACTTCGGGCAAACCAAGAGTTTTAATCAATGGAGTTGTCTAGCAGCGGATGCTCGTCTCTATTGCACTGTCACAGCCGTTCCCACCCGCCGGCTGTCCATCCATCATCACCTTCCCACCGCGCTGGGGTTATGGCTGTGGTCCGAAGGCCAGCCATGCCTCATGGACATTATGAGGCTAACTGGTCTGTGCTACCAGGCTCCTGGGATATAGATAAACCAAAAACAACCCTCCCCACACGACTCCCTCCCTCCCCAGAGTTTAAATGAAGAGGGGAGGAAAAAAAAAAAAAGTCAAACCCGGATAGGTCTGGGGTTAGGCGCATGGGTAGAGTTCTCAGCGGAACGTTGCGTCGCGGCATATTCATGAACTGCGTAATGGAAATCAAGCCCCTCTCCACCCTTGCGGTCTGTTGAAGAAGGGATGTGAGAGATTAAGGTGCAAGAGTTTAAAAAAAAAAATTTAAAAAATTTCAAATAAAACATAAAAAGCTTGAAAACAACGGACCCAACTCCCCTGCCTCCCGCCCTGTCTAACCCAATGGGTACCTAACAGGGATGGATGCAGGACGAGATGCTGCGGGAGCGACTCGTTTGAGCTCTCAGTACATTAACAAAAACCAGACATGAAGAGAGACATTGGGGCCAAATAAGGGTGTAGACAAAAGGGCTCGGAGGCCATGTAGGACTCCTGGGATCTGCTGAGGCCTTGGAGAGGGGAGGGAGCAGCAGGGATCTGGTTCTCCAAAGTGCTG